AATGCAGTTAGCCTTCAGAAGCTGCAGAAGTCAAGGAAACAGATTCTTCCTTAGAGCCTCCAGAAAGAAACACAGCCCTGCCAACACTTTGATACAGCCCAGTGAGAGCTGCGTTGGATTTGTGAAGTACAGAACTGTAAGATAATCAATTTGTGGGGGTTTGTAAAGATTTTATTTATTTATTTGAGAGAGAGAGAGCACATGAGAGGGGGGAGCATCAGAGGGAGAAGCAGACTCCCCGCCGAGCAGGGAGCCCAATGCGGGACTAATTTGTGTTGTTTTAAGCCACCAAATTTGTGGTCATTTGCTATGGCAGCAACAGAAACTAATACACACATTATGGCTCCCTAACTACCAAGACCAGAGTAAACTTATTACTGCCTTACAGGAAACAACCACCCTCTCCATTATCTAAGATTTGTTGCTGTTACCTAGCAGCAGATCTAGAGTAAACATGGTTGCTTTCTGTGTCCTGACTAGTACTAGGCAGTCTTGACTGAGAGCCCTGTCTACACTGCCAAGGCAAACTTGAGCTAAGGCAGTTATCTACAGATTTTGAAGGAAGTAAATTTGCAACCTGAACTGTCCCCCAGACTACCACAATTCTCTGCTTGGCAGGACGGCCCACACCTCTCCTACTGACGCTCCCCAGTAGAGCTGGGGAGGCCAGGGACAGAGGACGCTCCCAGTTTACCCCCACTCCCACACAGAAAGAGAACACCTAGCATATGTTGGGAGAGGGTGGAGGAATATGGATTGCATGCTACAATGTAGTGAGAGGAGAAACTGCCATGGTTGATACTTTTATTCAGTAACATTCAGCAAATGTTTACCGGGCTCCAACACATGCCAGTCATTAGGCACTAGCATTCGGGTCTCCCCCAGGAAGTCTCGGCTTGGACGAGTTTTTGCAGGTCCACAGAAGATGGGGGATGTGAGCCTCTTCTCATCAGTCTTTCTCATCAGCCATCCTTCCTAATTATCATCCATTCCCCAGGGCTGAATTTTCCATTCTGAGCAGGCCTGATTCACAGAAAAGCCTTGGTAATTACCCAAACTCACTTGCTCGCCTCTCTGTCACTTACACCATCCCTGAACCTGCCTGCAGTTCCCAGCACCCCTTGGCTCAATTGCTGATGGTTCTGACCACTCCAGCCTTCTCCTCCAGCACTTCTTTCTGCTCAATTCTGAAAGTGCTGATCAGGAGAACTTTGAAGATAGAAGATGTCCTCAGTTCCAGTCCAAACGAGAGGCTCTCCCTAAAGTTTTCTGCTCTTCCTCCTCCCTTACTACCTAACCGCTTTAAGAGCACACTGACTCCTGAAATTTCAATAACCACCACCAGAAATCTCATCAAAATTCAGTAATTCAGGCCTTCATTAAGTCATCCTACGTTACAAAAAAAAAAAAAGTCATCCCAAATTACAGCCTCCTAGCTGGCCTCCCTCAGTCCAATCTCTTCCTAATCCAATACATCCATTGTATACCTTGCCACATATCTTCCCAAACATTAAGTGCTCACTCCAAGTCAGGCACTGGCCTAGGTTTCAAAGACACAAGCTACCGTAATGCAGAGTGATTAAAGGCATGTACTTTGGAGACAGTAATAGCACTTGGTGGGCATTGTGAGCAGAGAAGACAGAATGATGAATTCTGGTAGTGATATAGAGCCAGACCTTGAAAGCTAAATGGAATATTCCAGGTGAAGAGGAGAGGAAAGCAATGGGCACCTGATGCTCTGTGCTAATCCTGACAAGACCATGAGCTCCTTGAGAAGTGTATCGGCTTTGGATATAGGAAAGTCATTCATTCACTCAAGCAACTAAGCACCCATTTTATACCAGGAACTGTGCTGTATGACAAGATTTTCCTCCTGGTCCTTGCCCCCAAGAAGTTTCCATTCAAAAAGATAATATAGAAATCAAACAAGAACACTTTAGATGAGTTAAAAGTGCTATTAAGAACATAAAACAGGGGCGCCTGTGTGGCTCAGATGGTTAAGCGTCTGCCTTCGGCTCAGGTCATGATCCCAGGGTCCTGGGATCGAGTCCCACATCGGGCTCCCTGCTCCTTGGGAGCCTGCTTCTCCCTCTGCCTCTCTCTCTCTCTCTCTCTGTCTTTCATGAATAAATAAATAAAATCTTTAAAAAAAAAGAACATAAAACAGGATCACATGAAAGAGAGTCACTGTGGGTGGAGGTCAGGGAAAGCCACTCTGAGGTGATAACATTTGAGTTCAGTCACAAAAATGCCTGGGTAGAATCATGTCCTAGGCAGAGAAAACGACAGGAACAAAGGTCCTAAAGCATGAAGGAGCTTGCCATATTAAAGAAATGGAAAGAAAGCCAGTACAGAGGTGCATGGTGAGAGAATGGAGGAAAGGCAGTCAGTGCTGAGCACACTGAAGCTTGGTAAGCCATGATGAGTTTGGATCTTATTCTAAAATGCACAGGGAAGCCACTGAAGGGTCTCAAGATAGGATGGGGCACGATTTGTGTTTTCAAAAGCTCTCTCTGGCTGCCATGTGGAAAGTGGACTGTAGAAGGGCAAGAGAGATAGAGCAGAGGGAAGTGTAGGAAGCTAGTGCAATAGTCCAAACCAGAGAAAACAGCCTAGACTTATGATATTTAGATGTGATGCTTAGAATCTCTCTTTACACCAAGTTACACAATCTCCTCGCTTTGCAAGGTCCATCCCCCCGCAACACACACACACACACACACACACACACACACACACACACACAGCCTAACTGGCACATAGGAGGCTTCATGGGTAATTTTCAATCGGTTGACTGTGTGTCCTCCAGGTCATCCCTATTTCCTTTCCTCCTTCTGCCCTCATTTTTCTTCCTCCCCCATATCTCAGGTGCCCATTTGCCCATCACCTGCCTTCATGAGGTCGTGCTGTTTCTGCTCTATTCCTTTCCCTCTCCTCACCCCACCACTCACGAAAGTTACATGAACTAGATGTAAAGGAGATAATTATTTTCTATTCTACCCCAGAAGCACTCAGGAGTTATCAATTTCACAGAGCACTAACAGAAGCTTATGGGTTATTATGATCCTGACAATACAACTGGTACACATTCTGCATGTTAAGAACACTGTCTCCTCACACTCATTCCAGCTTATTCTACTCCCCCCACTGCAGCCAGAGAAATCTTTCAAAAGGAAAATCTGATCATGATCTCATTGGTGCTTGCTCTCTCATCCCCCCCCCCACGCACTTGTGCTCTCTCTTTCTTGCACTCTCTCTCTCTCTCCTTCCCCTCCCTGTTTAAACCCCTTCAGTGGCTTCCCCTTGATCCTCAAATAAATCCCAACTTTCTCAGGATGGGCCATAATGACCCTGTGTGTTATGACCCCAGAGTGTATCTCACACCACTTCCCCCCGCCCTGCCGTTGCTCCCTATGGCTCCAGCCACACTGGCCTTCTTTCAGGCCCTCTAACTAGATGTGCCCCCCTTTCTGCTATTCTCTTTGTCTCCAAGGTCCTTTGATCTCCCTCTTCCCTCAGTTGACACTCTTTCTTTAGACCTTGAATTTTCTTCTTTAGCAAACTCTTCTCTCATCTAAGACCAAGGCTGGAACCACTCAGAGCACTGCCTATCTTTCTTTTGAAACACTTATCATAGTTCATAATAATACATTTAAATGGGATTATTTGATTAAAAATGGTTATTTCTCCCCACCCTCCAAGACAGGAAGCTCCAGGGGGCAAGAACATTGCCTATTTTTGCTCATCACTGTCTCCCCAACATACATTGGATAAACTTAAGATATGAAAAGATTTTCCAAAATCTTAGATATGGTTCCTTTTTTGATGGAGCAAGCAAACAAGGAATCATGGATCTTCTAGTGGCGAACTCTTACAGGAGGAAGAAGAGTCAGGGTCTGATGCCCATCTTGCTACAAACTCGAACTGTTTCCCCTGCCTCCTTACAGAAAACATCACTGACATCAACATGCACTTGTTTCCAAGACCCATCATCCTTCCTAAGAAGGCCCATCATCCTCTTCACACCCCTCCACTTCAGACTTGACCCCCCCATCTCTCTTTCCAGAGCAGTAACTAGACCACCTGACTGCACAGAAAGGGGGGAGTGAGAATTCAATAAGCTACCACTCACTTACTGGTTGTCACACAATAAAGCATTTCACAAATAGCACCTCATTTAGTCCTCAAAACAACCCTGTGAGGTAAGCAAAGCAGGTATTACCATCCCCATTTTACTAGACGGAGAAACTGAGGTTCAAGGAGGCAAGTGACGTATTCAAGGTCACAAAGCCAGTACAAGGCGGATGCAGGATTTGAGCCTACAGTCTCTGACACCTAATCTAATGCTTTCCCTGACATTTGCCACCACAAGTTATCACTTACTTAAATCCGGTTTCCTCATTCCCTTAATTAAACACCTGTTCCTGACCTCTCAACACAACCCCAGCCCATTTCCCCTTGCCTTCCCAGAAGTTGCCAGCTGCCTGCCCGAGGGGATGGAGAAAGTCATAAAGCTGGCCACACTAACGGGGTCTGGTCCCAGCCTCCACTCTTTCCAGCTCTTTCTCTGAACCACTGAGGAACCAGAAGTCTCCAGAAATAAAAACACAAAGAGGAGACCTGCCCCACCAGAGCAAGGTCCTTGGTCACCCTTCCTCCCGCGTTCCATCAGGACGCCGCGAGGCCAGAAGCCAGCCTCCCTCCGAAGAGGGAGTACCCGAGGAGAACCGAGGCCCCCGCCCGCCGCCGTCAGGGCTCCCCGGACCGGCCGCGCAAGGGATGCGGCAGTGATCCGCCGGCTCCCAGGTTCGGCCCAAGGTCACCCGCTCGCGGCCCCGGCCCCGTCCCCAGCCGCCCCGGAGCGCCCCCTGGTGTCTCAGGCGGGCCTCCCCTCGCCCTCAGGGAGTGGCCTGCGGAGCCCGGCCCGGGGGCAGAGGCAGGAGGGTGGGCAGAGGATGAGGAGGCTGAGCCCCGGGGAGGGGCGGGAGGCGGGGCCCTACCTGATAGCTGAGGACGCCGTCCGGCTCGTTACTGCCGGCCGGCATGGCGGAACCCAGCTAGGTCTGGCCCGAGGGCTCCAGGCCGAGCGTCAGCAGCCCGCGCGCTCCGGTCGGCTCTGAGCCGATCGCCCGAGCGGCGACCCCTACCCCGGAGCCAACGGTCAACCATCAACCGCCGCCGCCTCCATTGCCACCGGCCCGCGAGGCCTCGCCGCAGCCAATCAGCGTGCGGCCTGTGCGGCCAATCAGCGCGCGGAGCACGGGAGGACGCTGTCCGGCGGTACCCTGGGCTACCGGGAGGAGGAGGGGGAGGAGAGAGCCTGGGGAGGCTACCGCTCCGGGCCCGGTTGCCGTGGAAACCGCCTCCCTCCCTTCAGGGGCCTCCGGGCTTAAAGGTCCTTCCAACTGCTTGCTAGAAATTGAAAATCCCGTGCTTCTATTTGCGGTTGCACCTGACCCTTGAAAACTGAGAAAGTGTCGGTTTTGTCTAATTCTGATGTTATTACTTAGGTAATGGTTTTCAAATTCTGAGGAAACGGCCCTTGGGACTGAAGAAGGAAGTACCAGAGGATGAGGGGGAAGGGCCTTCTAAAATTACTTGTTAATCTCCGAACTAGTGGCCATATTAACGTGCATTAAAGAGAAGCGGGGCGGGCAGTGATCAGACCCCCTCCACAGACTCACTCCGACTTAGGTCTTCTCACCTGGTCTTAGGTGGGCAGAGAAAAGCACAGAGTTGAACCAAGGCTGATCGCGGAAATAATTCCACAAAAACGCTTCCAGCTTTTCCGAGAAATGATCTAAGGCAAATTATTATTTAACAACAGAACTACTGATCTAAGGCAAGGTTAGAAAATCATGAGTAATGCATTCAATTTGATTTGGGCTTGAAAGCAAAAGAGAGGCTGGCCATAATCCAACCAATCCTCTGTCCCCAAGAGGAGGCAAGGGGCCTTTTGCCTTTCATGCACTATCACATCAGACTGTAGGTGAGTCCATATTATTGGGGGGGGCAGTCCAAATGATTCTTTGCTTCAAAAGAAACTACATTTGGAGAACATAGTCGGGTATATGTTAAATATCAATCCCTGTATACCACAACTTGCGTTGGCCCTGAAATTTGACACAAGGTTATGCTTCAGTGTCCCTGGGGCAGAACCATATTTCTGATCTCCTGTCTAAGGCCCCTGGTCCTGTTTCTGAGCATTAGCATTCTTTGCCACAATCTCTGTTTATCACTTCACTAATCCTTGAATCCTTGAATTTGGAATTCACCGCCCCCCATTTTTGCCCACCAAAATCTTAGCCATCCTTCAAAGTCAATCTCAAAGGCTATCTCTTCCAAGAAACCTTCCTTTATCCCACTCTCTCCAACACCTCTTAAAGATATCATCTCTCCCTTCTCTGAAGCCTCACAGCACTCCATACCTTTCTTATATCAGTTACCACGCTGTGGTTATTTAAGTACTTTAATTATATATTGACTTTAACTTACTATAATATTGTAAGTTTTTTGAAGGTAATTATTTTTTTATGTCCTTCTGTACTCCACAGAGCCTCAACGAATGCTGGTTATATAGAAAGTAGTTAACAAATATATGTGTTTTTAATTCGATCAACACCTACTATGTACAGGCCCAAATGGCACTGAAGATGCAAACAAATTTAAAATATAATACATATCTCCGAAGGGCTTATAGTCTAATCAGGGAAACAGAAGGCATGTGAATATGATGACAGATAATAAAACATAGAATAAGAGCCATATGAGAAATGTAGACAACAAAGATCGTAAAAATTCAGAAGAGAAAATGATTTTTATGACTTGGGACACTAAAGGACCATGACACAGATGACATGGGTTAAAGCTAAATCTGAAAATAATTGAGCCAAGGTAAGGAGAGCAAGCATCTCAACCACTGGGCAAAAACTTAATAATAGGAATGGGGGCGCCTGGGTGGCGCAGTTGGTTGAACGTCCAACTCTTGCCTTCAGCTCAGGTCATGATCTCATCGCCTGGGATTGAGCCTGGTGTCCAGCTCCATGCTCAGCAGGGAGACTGCTTGAAGATTCTCTCCCTCTGCCCTTCCCCCCACTCGTGTGTGTGCACGCACGCGTGCAAGTACTCTCTCTCTCTAAAATAAATAAATAAATCTTTTTAAAAATGGGCACCTGGGTGGCTCAGTTGGTTAACTGTCTGCCTTCAGCTCAGGTCGTCATCCCTGGGTCCTGGGATCGAGTCCCCCCTCGGGCTCCCTGCTCAGTGGTGAGTCTGCTTCTCCCTCTTCTCCCTCTCCTCCCACCTCGTGCTTGCTCATGCTCTCTGCCACTATCTTTGTCTCTCTCTCTCTCAAATAAATAGATCATCTTTTTAAAAATAAATAAATAAAATCTTTAAATGGTAATAATAGTAATGTACATGGCCCAGTCAGAGTAGTCATGATTTGAGCCAAAGCAAAAAGTTACAGAGAAGAGTGAAGTACAGTAGTGAAATGAAGTACAGCAGTAGTGAAGTACAAATTGTGGTTTAAAAAAACAAACAGGGGCGCCTGGGTGGCTCAGTCCCTTAAGGTTAAGCGTCCGACTCTTGATTTTGGCTCAGGTCATGATCTCAGGGTTATGAGACAGAGCCCCCCCACACACACACACACACCCTGCAACCCTTCCCATTGGCTCCAAGCTGGGTGTAGAGCCTGCTTAGGGTTCTCTTTGCCCCTCTTCCTCTCCCCCCCCCGCCCCCTCAGATGCACACTGTTGCACTCTCTCTCTCTCTCTCTCTAAAAGAAACAAAAAAATAACTATGGCCAAATTATGGAGAGCCAGCTAATTAATTCAGATTTTACTTTTCTCATATAATAGAAAGTAAGGCACTGCTGAAAGTTTTGGAGAACACTTCCATGTACCAGGACCCAGGCTTCGTCGCATAAATCCATTGTGTTATGTAAAATTTATAATAACTCCATTATTTCTCCCATTTCACTGGTAAGAAAACAGGGGCTTAGAGAAGTTTAGCAGCTTTCTTAATATCAGGCAGTCATGAAGCTGAGCTTTGGTCATTTATTAATTCAAAATACATTTACTGAGAACCTATGTATTCAGGTTGCATGTTGGGGAAAGAACAATAAAACACGGTCTTGCCCTCTTGAGCCTTACAGTCTAGTGGGGAGACAGTAAACAAGTAAACAGACAATTACAGATTATGATGGCTGCTAGGAAGTCATTAGCAAGGTCATGTGATAGAAGAGAGGGTAACTGGCATGGGGGATGGGGTGACCTGGGAGAGCTCCTCTGAGGAGGTGAGTCAAGGATGAGTCTATCTAACTCTAGAGTTCTTGGCCACTATGCAATACCGCAAAGATCTGCCATTGGGGCAAGGTGGGTTAAAGGGGGAAAGCTGGGGCAGGGGGTCAGATAGAATGGCTCTGGCAACGTGGTAATTCAAGGAGGCCAAGGATGGTGTTCAAAGGGAAGATGTGCCCCGAATTCCCCTCTCCCCAGAAAGATAACTCCTAGCCATGGGAGTGGGCATGAGTGGGCATAGGAGGGAGAGGGCTAAGGAGGTAGAAAATTCCTAGGAGCTCTCGTGGGTCTATTTTCCACCACTTCAAATGTAGAGAGCGAGCCTCTGGCCCTTGACTCCAAGGTCAAGAGCCCCATCTTCTGGCCTATTGTACAAATTACAAAAGGAATTAGGCCACAGAGCCGGCCTCTGAGGCTGCCTGAGGCAGCCACTATCTGAGGTGCTGCAGAAGACAGGCTCTCCCCTCACAGCACTGTTTTGGTCTCTCCTTCCCAAAGGAGGCTGGCTCACTTGGCTCCAGGCTCCAGGCTCTAGGCTTCTAGCCTCTAATGCTCCCTATACTGCTTGGAAACTTGCAAATATGTAGCTCTCAACCTAGTCAGCAAGCAGGCTCCAGAAGAGCTGGAAGGAGGATACTCAGCTGAGGACACTGCCTCACAATGATTATTTTTCTAAAGAAAGCAGAAAAAAAGGGGTGCCTGGGAGGCTCAGTCGGTTAAGCGTCTGCCTCCGGCTCAGGTCATGATCCCAGTGTCCTGGGATCGAGCCCCACGTCGGGCTCCCTGCTCGGTGGAGAGCCTGCTTCTCCCTTTCTCTCTGCCTGCCACTCTGCCTACTTGTGCTCTTTGTGAAATAAATAAATAAAATCTTAAAAAAAAAAAAAGGCAGAAAAAAACAGTGGAATAGAATGCAGAGCCTCTTGACGCCTGTACAGGATACTTGGCCCAGAAGGAGGCATAAAATGCACAGGAAAAAAGCAAAGTATGCATAGAAACAGAAACTGCACACGTCAACAGGGAGGCAAGGAGGCATGCTACATGGATGACCTCAGTCCTTGCAACAACTTCACAAGGTAGGTGCCATCATCCTATCCCAAATTAGAGATGTAATTTGCCCTTGTCATACAGTCATCTCAGTTAATAAATGAAGATTCTGGGCTCTCGGCACAGGTGTATCTGATTCCAGAGCACACATGCTTAACCACTCACTGCCTCGCATGGGTCTGTCTGGGGCTTCCATCCTTCCCTAACCTTTATAGGCTCCATCCTATCTGCATGGCTTCCAAATGTGGCTATCCTTCCAGATTTCGTCTCCAGGTCCTTCTCTAATACCAGTGGTTCTTAAACTTTGGGGGAAGAGAGTATGTCTTGAACCCATGGGGGACATGATAAAATCAACGGGACTCTCTTTTCAGATAAGTACACAAAGCCTCAGATTTTGCATTTTATTGTAAGCGAGTGTTCACAGCCTTCCCACGGAAGCACCAGGCACCTTACATTTATTGTCTTTAAATACTGGCTAAAAAAACATTGAAGTTCTTTTCTTCAGTGACAAAAAGGCGAAAATATAAGAAACTCAAAATGTCTGAGCAAATGTTCTCACATAATTGCAACCAATCTTTTCATCAAAAGCATCTTAATTTCTCCATCATTTTGCCATATCCCTTGCTCCGTTTAAACTGTCAAAAGAGCCGCCAGAATGGAGATTCTAGTCTTTCCTTGCTATTAAGTAGCTCCCAATTCCCAGCTGCGTCGTATACCTGATTTTGTTCTCCCCCACCCTTCCTCTTAATTACACATCTAAACCCAAGGAAAGGTTGGAGGAAAAGGCATCAGGATCCAAGGTAAGGGAAGACTTAATTAGGGCTTGTTGGTGCTGCCGTCTGGGAACATTTCCTGTGAAGGGAGGGGGAGAGCCAGGA